TCCCTTCCACCAGGACGTTTTCTCAGTTCACTACCAATGAGAACATTAGCAATGGAATCACCCCCTAGAGCCAAGGACTACTACTGACCACATATCCCTTACGATGGCTTCCTCTCTGCCTTCTGGGTGCTGGGTGAGCCAGTCCCAAATTACCATCTGACTGCCTGGTTTCTCAGACCACTCACTTATGACTTGTGCTAATCCACAAGTCATAGTAACTGAGAAACAGTTACTAACATGGGATTCAATGTGCAATGATTTCATTGAGGAAAATGCTTGTGTGAAAGAAAATAGGGAGCTGTGGAAGTTGAGAGACTACCAGACAGAGAGAGAGCGCAGGAGAGAGATGGTGCAGATTGAGATTGGATAGAGTTGCCTAAACTGCTATGAAATCCGAGGAAGGTCTGGTAATGCCTTCACGAGTCCTTGAGCCGGGCTGTTAAGAGTCCTGTGTCTACCAGCATTGGGTCTTCCTTAGTTTCCCCAATGCACTTGGTCACAGGTGGGGAGCACCCTGGGGGGCCATGGGCTTGGTGCAAATGTGGTGATGAGTTTCAGAGGGCAGCAGCTGATGCTCTGGGTCAGTTACACTCCTGCAGTGGGAGACTTGTGAGGCACAATCTCATGGCCTCCAGGAACCACCGATCTTCCTGCGAGCCTACCTACCTCTGTGACAGGAGGGAAGCCAGAGTTCATGAGTAACTTTCACAAAATATTCAGTTCTTAGTTTTCAGCACAAGATCTCATTCTCTCTTGTCGACTCCAGGACTTTGATCCAGTGATTACCTCTTTCCTCCTGTATCACCAGTTTCTCCTAGCTACTTGATTATTTCCACCCATATTCAGTAACATCTTCCTGACCTCACTTGTGCTCAGGTGCCTGCCATTTCTTTGCTCCTTGTCAAAAAAAAAAAGTGAGGGGGCACCTTCTTGAAAGAGTTGTCTATACTTTGCCTCCACTTCTTCATTTCCCATCTCTTTGCTCACAGTAAGAGCAGCTTTAATTTTTATGATTAATTAAAACATTTAAGTACAATGTGGTGGGAAGTGGGAAGAAAGCAAATAGCATCTAAAGTTACATCATTTTGTTAGGGGGAAGGGAAGGACAGGGAGCGATTTGTTAAAGCAGTGGTCCCCAACATTGTTGGCACCAGTGACTGCTTTTGTGGAAGACAGTTTTTCCATGGATGGGGCGTGGGGAAGATGGAGGGCGGGAATGGTTTCAGGATGAAACTGTTCCACCACAGATCATCAGGCATTAGATTTTCATGTGGAGCGTGCAACCTCCATCCCTGGCACGTGCAGTTCACAATAGGATTTGCACTCCTACGAGAATCTAATGCCGCTGACCTGACAGGAGGTGGAGCTCACGCGGTAATGCTGCATTGGGGGTTGGGGACCCCTGTGTTAAAGCATACAAATTACAGCTAGATAAAAGGAAGAAGTTCTAGTGTTCTATAGCACTGTAGGATGACCGTTAGTTAATAATGATACACAGTTTCAAATAGCTAGGAGGAGGAAATTGAATGTTCCCAACACAAAGGAATGAGAAACCTTTGAGACAATGGATGTGCTAGTTACCTGATCTGGTCACTACACATTATACGTATAAAAACAGCACTATGTACCCCATAAATACATACAATTATTACGTCAATTAAAAATATTTTCCTCAAAAAATGACATCATTTGAAGTTCGGTGACTTCATTTGTCTTTACATGCATACATACTGGTTTACATAGAAAGAACATTTTCCAGGCTGCTTTTCTATTGTTCCTCTTCACCTGGTTTGGAGGGCCTTGTTTCTCTCTCTTTACATCTCTTGATACAGCCCCACACCCCCTGTCATGTACACACACGGGCATACCTGCACACACAATGTAAACAGAGTGGTATGTATACTGCTGAAACAGGGAAGGTTCCCTTATCCCCTCGCAGGGCATGCGATGGGCGTGTGGCTTGCTTCTTTGGTGTTCTGCTGCTCACACCTCTGGGGGAGCAGGCAGACGGGCAGGTTGTGGGGCTCCGATCACGGGCAGTGTCTAGGGGCGAATGTTTACAGCTGAAGCCCCAGTGGGTGTGTGTTACGGGGTTCTCGTTCAGTTTAGCTGTCTGCAGGCAGCTTGTGTTAATCAGCTCAATGAGACCGCTGCCTTATTGCAAGGACAGAAGCTTTCTGCCTCCTGGGTTTCTTGCCTTGGTGTACCCGAAGAATCAGATCACACATGGGCTTGGAGAATGAATGCGAGGTTTTATTGAGTGGAAATAGCTCTCAGCAGATGGGGGAGCCAGAAGGGAGATGGTTTTCCCCTGGAGTCGAGCACTTGGCAGCCAGGCTCTCCACCGACCGTCCTGGCCAAACCTCCAAACTCCGCGTGGTTCCGCCGGTCCATGGCCTGCCAGCTGTGCTCTTCAGCTCATGTGCTTCTCTCGACGTCCAGCCGCCTGTGTGTTCTTTTGCTGATGTGTGTTCCTCTCGACGTCCAGTCACTTCTTGTCTCTGCCCACTAGGGTCCTGGGGTTTTTATAGGCACAGGATGGGGTCATGGCAGGCCAGGGTGTTCTTGGGAAATGCAACATTTGGGCATGAAGGCAGAAGTGCCTGTCCTCACCTAGGTCTGTGCGCACAGGTCCGAGGGTGGATCCCTAGCCAGGGACCAGCCTTTCTCTACCCAGCACTTCCCTGCCCCCCTTCCATATCACTGCCATACTTTCCTCCATGTTCTCAATCACACAACCTTTATTTTGTTTGCATAACAATAGGATCATACTATAGATGCTTCTCTGTAGGTTGCTTTTCTCCTTTAACAGAACCTTGTGGAAAAATCTTCTAAATCATTTAGCACCCACTATGTGGTCAACGTACAATCATTTATTCAACCAGTCCCTGTTCACCTGTTGGTAGGTGTTAATTCTCTATTTCTAGAGTTTTGCCACAGCAACTAATGATGCCATCTCTCTGTCTGTATATCTGTATCTATCTATATGTATAGCATCTCTATCTATTCATCCATCCATCTACACCCACACGCATACACATATCCTGATATATTGGTCCTCCCCATCCCACCATGTGGAACGATTCCTAACGGTGGGGTTGCTGGGTCCAAGAGAGTCTGTATTTTTAATTTTAACAGATTTTGCCAGATTGCTTAAAAAGAAACTATAGCGATTTACATTTCCTTCAGAACTGCAAGATAATTTCCTTCCTATCCCTGACCCCCATTCCTTCTCAAGAGTATTATTACCCTTTGGAGTTTTTGCTGTCAGGTGAAAAATGCTGCCACACCAAGACTTTGGTTTGTATCTTTCTGACTGACAGAAGCTCTGGCTGAGCTTCCTTAGTGGATAATCGCCTGATTTTGAAGCCAGTCTGCCTGAGTTTGAATTCCAGTTTCATCACTTACCAATGATACAACCTTAGTAGATTTATCTACCCTCTCTGTGCCAATGTCCTCATCATCTCCATAACGGGATAATAATAGTTCTTGTTTCACAGGGTTATTGAGGAGGTTTAGTTATTAGAAAAGTTCCTGGCATATAATGAACACTAAAAAAACGTTGTTTTAAATATGTTGATTGGCCGTTTGGATATGCTCTTTTGTGAGACAACTGAAACTTTGCTCATTTTCTATCGGGTAGTTTGTCTTTTCCCCTGCTATCTAGTTTCAGATCTTGTTTCACCTCTTTCACTATATATTTTAAAGTTTTATTCATATAGGTCATGTTCTTCTCCCATTAAATTTATATAATTTGTCACTACAATGAATAGATTCTCTTGCCAACAGATGATAACTATTATAGAGAAAGTATTGATTTGTAAATATTTGTCCAGTATAGAGCCATCAAATTCTCTTATTCTGGTAAAACTTGTTGGGCTTTCTTAGCACATAATATTATTTAAAGAGAGGATTTTGTCCCTTTTTTCCCAGCATTTGTACTGTTTATGTTTCTCTCATGATGTCAGAACTTTCAAAACAGTGATGAACAGCGGGTATCTCTGTCTTGTTCTTGATTTTGGTAAAACGAGAAATTCTTTGCGGACAACAGCTTTGATCAATGCCCGTGGAATTTCGTCTTTCTTGTGATCTTCCATTCTTGATTGCCTGCACTGTGGATTTCAGACTTGTTTAGCCAGCCTCCACGATCACACAATCCAATTCTTTTAAAATAAATCTCTTTAGAGGAGAGTAAGCACGCACATGCACGTGCACACACACACACACACACACACACACCCCCCCACCCCTCCTTCTGGTTCTGCTTCTCTGGTTGAATCCGGACTGATACATACAAATACTAATTATTTAGAAGGCTGTGGTAATATTTGGACAAATTAAGAAGCTTATTTTGAGCATCAAAGTCAAAATTTAAAACTTAGAATTAAAGTTTAGGTGTAGCTCCAAATTTTACACGCTCACGCCTGTAATCCGATGAAAGGCTGGAAAATTGCTTGAGCCCAGGAGTTCAAGACCAGCCTGGGCAACACAGCAAGACCCTGTCTCAAAAAAATAAAATAAAATAAAATTTAGAACATCAGCTGCTCATTTCTAATATAATATATTTTACATTTCATATGTGAATTTACCAGTAGAAAAAATCTGCTTAGGGCAGGTTATTTAAATCCACACACTTTTATTAAATCCTTTATATATAAATTAACTACAGTCATATAAGGTTTCATGTGAAAAGTTTCATGCAAAATAACACTTGACACATAAATATATTTTCAAAATTTCACTTTCATTCTTACAAAGGATTATAACAGTCAAATTTAGTTTTTCAAGCCATGTAAGAGTACATAGAGTACCTTTAAAATGAAGGCAAACACATAAAGGATTAATTTATTAACACACTGTATATGAAAATATTTCTATTTTGGAGAGGGTTCAAGAATATTTTTCAGATCTTGAACTCAATGCCTACTATGAGCTTATATTTAGTATTCTTAATACTAAATACTAACACTCTCAATCTAAGTATAAAATACACTGTTTCTCTATATACATATATCTGTAATAAACAAACTATCAGTTTTCCTAATTCTTCTTATGTTTTTTTTGAGGGTTGTGAAGTGGTTTATAAATATATTGTCTATAAATCCTCATGTACCGAAAGTAGCTCAAAACGAGAATAGTGAAGAAGAGCAGCATCAGGACGAAGAGGAAAGCAGCCACCAGGTAGACACTTGGACTGGAATCAGAAAAATAAGAGGCATTAGAAGTCATTGTTCACACTTTGGCTGTTAATTTCTTTAAACAATTTTTGAATGGCTAGCTACTATGCCATTGACAGAGAACAAAGACGAATAAGACGCACCGTCCAGCCTCACGGTGTTTACCTTTTAGTGTTTGAGGCTGACCAGGCGGGAAAATAGACAAGGTGATCAATGCAGTGAGAGGAGGAAATGAAGTTGTCTTTTTTTTTTTTTTTTTTTGCGATGGAGTCTCACTCTGTCACCCAGCGGGGAGTGCAATGGCTCACTGGAACGCCTGTCTCCTAGGTTCAAGCCATTCTCCTGCTTCAGCCTCCCAAGTAGCTGAGATTACAGGCAGGCACTACCATGCCCAGCTAATTTTTGTATTTTTAGTAGAGTTGGGGTTTCACCATGTTGGCCAGGCTGGTCTCGAACTCCTGACCTCAAGTGATCTGCCCACCTCGGCCTCCCAAAGTACTGGGATTACAGGCGTGAGCCACCGCGCCCAGCCAGATGAAGTTTTGTGGGAGCTACACATCATGGAAGGCGTTCCAGTAGAGGGGATGTTTGAACTGAGCCTGAGCAGGAAGTTCTGTGGGAGTCACACATCATGGAAGGCCAGGGAAGGGGATGTCTGAGCTAAGCCTGGGTAGGAGTTAGCTCAGTATGAGTATGAGTGGGAGTAGGAGTTAGCTAGTTAGCTAGATAAGAGTGGAGGAAGAGATCGAGGTGGGAACAGTGTTTCAGACAAAGGCAGAAGGCTATGGGAAGGCATGAAAACTTGGTAACACCTCAGGACCACTCCTAGACATTCTGAAACTGCAGCTCCTTCAGTATGACAGGGGCTCAGGTGCCAAGAGGAGTGGTTAGAGATGAGGATTGATAGGTGGGCAGAGCCAGATTGGAAAAACTGCTTAAGTTAAGCTAGAGAGTGGGTTTTAGCCTAAGGCAGGAGAGAGCTTCAGAGGGATGATATAGGATTGACATTTTACAGGGATGATTCTGGAGTGTGAAGAATGGAAGAAAGCAAAGCATGAATGTGAAGGTAGAAAAAGCAGTTATGAAGTATTTGAATAATCGAGATAAGCTATAATGAGAGTCTTAACAAAATTAATGGCGGAAGAAATGGAGAGAAGTGGATATATTTAAGACACATTTAGAAGTTAGATTGGATCGATCTTGGTGATGATTAAGATGTGGGGTTTGAGAAATATGAAGGAATAAAGGTGATCTTCCTTGCATGCTTTGGAGTTAGGTTACTGTGAGAATGGTGTTACCTTCACGGATGGAGGAAATTCAGAGGGAGGAGCACTTTTTTGAGGGCATGTGCGTATATGGTTGGCTTACTTTGGTGCATATTTAATTTGAGGTACCTGAGGGTCAGCCAGGTGTGTGTGTGTGTCTGTGTGTGTGTGTGCAGCACTTACTCTAGCCAGACATCTGCCTCTTCACCTGGAACTCTGCATGGGTACTTTTTTTGTTGGTTTGTTTGTTTTCTGAGATGAAGTTTCTCTCTGTTGCTCAGGCTGGAGTGCAGTGGCATGAATAGGGCTCACTGCAGCCTCGACCTTCTAGGTTCAAGTGATCCTCCCACCTCAGCCTCCCAAGTAGCTGGGACTACAGACATGCACCACAAAACCTGGCTATTTTTTTGGGTAAGGAATAGAGATGGGGTCTTGCCATGTTGCCCAGGCTGGTCTTCAACTCTAGGCTCAAACAGTCTGTCCAACCTAGCCTCCTAAAGTGCCGGGATTAAGGTATGAGCCACCACGCTGGGCCTGCATGAATGCTTCTGATCAGAGTGGATTTATTTCTTAAGCCAGACACTGTGCTGTTTTCTATTTGGTGTCCTGGTATCTGACATTAGTTTTGGAGTCCCTTTTAAACCATAATTATTTGTTTTCAATGTTATAGTTTCCCCAGGCTTCCTTTGTCTCACCTTTCTCCTCTGTGGCAATAAACTTAATCTGTCCCCAGTGTATGATTTCCTACTGAGAACTTAGTTAAGCCACTTCACCATCTCATATCTGCCTGACACTGTGCATGGTTCTAGCAATACAATGACGAGTGAAAACAGACATGGTCCCCATCCTTGGGGAGCTTACATTTTAGCGGGATATAATCATTAATCAAATAATGAGAAAATAAATAAAAAATTGCAACTGAGGTAAGAACTAAGGAGAAATATACAATGCAATGAAAGCTTCTTAAAGCAGGATTTAACCTGGTAAATGGATCAAGAAATGCCTTCATGGGAAAAAGGTAATTATCTTAAAATCTGATGAATAAATAGAAGTGAAGTTGGTACAGTGAAGTGTAGGTAAATAGAGGACGGAGGATTCTAGATAGAGGAAATGGCATGTGCAGAGGTCCTGCTATGGGAGAGAGCATGGAGAAAGACAGGACTGAAAGAAAGTTGCTCGGTCTGGAGCTGAGAAAATGTGAAGGACATGATCCAAGATGAGACTCGAAAAGTAGGTAGGGGCTAGATCATGCAAGGATTTGTAGGCCAAAACTCCTTAAGGAGTTTTAATTTTATGGACAGAAATGTGAATGTTTCAAGCTACTAAAACTAGCATTGAAAAGATTACTGTAGCTCCAGTGAGGAGAATAAGCTAGAAGAACATAGGAGTGGATGAGGGGAGATTGGTTAGGAGTCTCTTGCAGAGATAATGGTAGCCTGGATTAAGGAGGTGGTGATGGAGTAAGAAGTGGATCCATTCAAGGGTGATTTAGGGGATTAAATGAATGGCAGATAGTTGTGGATTGGATGAACTGGAGAGAAACAGAGAGACAGAGAGACAGAGAGAGAGAGAGAGAGAAATGAATGTAAATCCTTGGTTTCTTGGTTTTGGTTTTGGTTTTTGACTCCTAGAAGTTTGGCTTGCATAGTTGGATGTACATTTCATGGGACAAATTGTACAGGGAACAAGTGTAGGAGGGAACATTGGAAAACAGGGTACCATTCCTATCATAGCCTGTGTGAATGGATTTTCCTGGAGCTGTGCAAGGACAATCTATATGGCTATATGTAATTGTCCTAATGCATCCGTTTTAAGATAGATTAAATAATGGGATAGGGGAGCATGGGATAAGATCATGAGTTCACTTTTGGACATGTCCAGTTCGACTAGTCTTTGAAACATCTAAGAGAAGAAGTTAAGTAGACAGTAGGATGTATGCCTCTGGACTGTTTTAGAGAGATTATTTGGGAGTCATGTGCATATAGATGCTAACTGAAGTCATAATTGTAGATGAGCTTGCCAGAGTGAGAAGCTCAGGACAGAACTGAGCCTCATGGGAGGCCAACATTTAAAGGCTGCTAAAGGAGGGTGAGGCTTTCTTTACTAGGGAGAGAGAGGCAGTGGCTACAGAAGTTTGGGAAAACCCATGGTGTGATGCAACAGCCAAAGGAAGAGTCAACGCTGAAGAAAGATCTAATAAAATGAGGACTGAAAAATATCTATTAGCTCAATGAAGGCCAAAGCTATTTCAATGAACTAATCGGTAGAGTGAAGAGATAGAAACCTGACTGGATGGATTGGAGAAAGACGGCCGGACACAGGGAAATGGAGACTGTGAGTGTAGACAATACCTTTGAGAAGTTTTGTGCTGCGAAGGAGAAACTTGAGGGTCACTAAAAACCTATTAGAAGGATCTAGTTGAGAGGGAGAGTTGAATATACAGAAGAGAGAAGGAATAATTGATTTGAAAGTTTCCTCAGTAAGTGGAGAGGAACAGATAGTGTGCAAAGCATAGGTGGAAGAATTATATTTAAAAGGAGGAATCATATTTTCTTTGTTGTAACAGGATGGAAAGAGGAGAGGATGGATATAGATGTTAGTAGATTTTTATGTTTGCAATCAGGAATAGAGGGCGTTCCTGTCTCATGGTTTCTAATTTCTTTGTGAGGGTGGAAACAAGCTCACCTGATGATGATTAAGGAAAGCAGGTTTGAGGAGGAAGCTAATTAGATACAATCTGAAATCGCTGTTACAGAGAATGCTGCTCAGGTGTAGTCACAGAGAAGGTAGGTAGTTGGGGATTTGCCAGAGGGAGGAACAAATCCCAGAGGCGTGAGGGTGTACTTTCAAGTGTACTTGAAATAATGGACTTTGAAATGTAAGGAAATGCAAAGTACAAAAAGAGAGATTGAAAGTAGAGGGGGAGGTTGCAGGAAGGGTGAAGGGGGGTTTCAGTGGGTGTCGTGGAATTAACAAGCTGGAAGGACAGGAGGTCGTGATCAGAGAATGGGATGTGATGTCTGGATTGGTGCTTTAGGAAGCAGAGAAGTTACAAGTCATGACAGTGTGGAAGGTGTAACTGTGGGAGTGGACGGCTGAAGTGCAGTAGAGGGAGGTCACCAAGGATGTGGTAAGGCCACGATTTTGGATGCTGGATGCGAACACTGATAGTGGGACTTGATGTGGAGAGGAAAACAGTGTGGCAGGGCCAAAGCTGAGAATGAACGCAGCAGACTGTAGAGAGGACATGGTGATGAAGACAGACAGCTGGGGCTGCAGCAGACGCCATGAGCCCCAAAGGATCAGGGTATGTTTTGTGTTGGTTTTTTTGGTTTTGTTTTACAAGAACGAGGATAAGTAATGATCTGGAATTGGTAATAGGACCCCCTGAGGCACATGGGAGGTGAAAAGAGCACCACTTGAGAGGCCTGAAGGTGGAGCAGTGCCTTCGGGGGAGAGCCTGGTTACCCCTAAGGAGAGAGAGGGAGGGCTCAGAGGATGGTTGAAGATCTGGGTGAGTTTGCTGGTTAAAGGATGGCAATTCCAGAGAGCAGAATGGAAACGCTGGGAAAGTGGTGGGGTTGAGTGCTGGGCTAGGAGCAAGGAAGTGCCGAGCTCTCCGCCTTCTACAAACTCATCTCCAGTCGCTGCTCAAGAAAAGGGCGCCATTATTAAGAAAATAATCAACCACCAGCCGGCCCTGGTGTGCCTCTGCTACCCTTCAGGGCCCAGGTGTTACTGGAGGCGAACCTACAGTCACTAACCAAATAGACTGTCCTGTATGCTGTGCTCATGTGCCCTGGCTGCTGGACTCTAGCTGCTGGCAGGTGAGAGCGGGGGCAGGTGAGTGAGATCCTCCTCCTTTGCCTTTCTCCCCTTGACTCTTTCTTTGGCTGATGGGTACTTGGGTGGGCATATACCTTAATATTCATCTAAATCAAACATACCAACCCAATGACCTTAATATTCACCTAAGTCAAACATACCAACCCCATGAGGAAGAAAAGTCACTAGGAAAAGGTTGTGCCTGTTTCCCAAGGTTATGTAGAAACAACTCTTGACTTCATTTACAGGTTATTCCCACTATTAACACTGTCAGCACAGAAACCCCAGGAGCCAGTCATATTTACAGTGGGGCCATGAATAGCTTAATTGTTTTCCTTATGCCCTTATTTAACAATCCTCCCCCGCCCCCCCAAAAAAACCCCATAAAACAAAACCCAAACACCCAAATTCCAAACACCAGGCCCAAAACGGAGTAGCAAAGTCATCTGGGGTTCTAACTTTAGTATCAGGACTTTTCATTCTGCCCTCCAAGGGAACTGGAGCTGAGTCCAGGGAAATCCCTTTACTGTTTCCTAAATGCATCAGAATGAGGGTCTGTGGTTGAAAGCTGACCCAGGCTTAGAGCAGAGGGCACAGCCACTGTCACCTCCCAATCCCTACCACTGCATTCTGGCATCTGCCAACTAGGAGCAGCTGAGACATGTTTGAAAGGAAGACAGTGGCTGTTGAGTGGGATGGCACGAAAGGGGACCTTTGCTGCAGTAACAGTTCTCAGGAATTCCTTCCTGCTGTGTCCCTGTATACATACTATACACATATACAATTTTTAGGATGTCATATAGGGGGCAGAAGTAACAGGGCTTCAGGGAAACAGCAAGTTTCTGTCATTTGGGAAGACAGATTTCACAGATAGCCCCCCAAAAATCTAAATATAGACTGATTAAAACCATTGACTTTGCAGTGAACACTTCATACGTTTTTTTGTTGTTGTTGTTTTAGGATTTATTTGCATATTATATACTGTATAATAATATTTTTCATAATAAGATTTAAGCGGGGGACCCTGAAAACTGAGTGCACAGGCTGCTTCTGGGAGACACGGGGGGGAGGTGCTTTTCCTTTTTAGCTGCCACTTGTATCTTAGAAATTCCGTAATTAAAGTCCAGTTAGGCACCGCTCATTACCTGGGAATCAGTCCAAACGTCTCTATTGCAAACATAGCTGTTAGGTTGCAGAAACTGCAAATTAGAAAAATAATATTAAAGATTAAATTAATTACAATATATTTTAAAATGCTCTCCATGTCCCTATGGTAACAATCAAACCATATATAATCCTAGTTAAGGTGTCATTTTCTTGACAAAGGACAGATGGATACATTCACAGAAGAGCTGTGATGATTTTTCTCTGTGTGCGTCTCAGGCTTCTCTGAGATTCCTCAAGAGCTCTCTGTCCTAACAGCCTTACATCATTTTGATAGTGGTTCCCAAGGCAACGGTAATAATGATATTACTAATAAGTATTGGCAGAAATAAAAAAAGCTAACCTTTATGAGCATTAATACTTTTTGAAAATGAATACTGGCAGGCACGGTGGCTCACACCTGTAATCCCAGCCTTTGGGAGGCCAAGGCGGGCAGATCACCTGAGGTCAGGAGTTCGAGACCGACCTGACCAACAGGGTGAAACCCCTTCTCTACTAAAAATACAAAAATTAGCCAAGTGTGGTGGTGGGCACCTGTAGTCACAGCTACTGGGGAGGCTGAGGCAGGAGAATCTCTTGAACCCGGGAGGCGGAGCTTGCAGTGAGCTGAGATCCGGCCACTGCACTCCAGCCTGGGCGACAGAGTGAGACTCCGTCTCAAAAAAAAAAAAAAAAAAAAAGAAAATGAATACTAATTGAGCATTGCTATATACTAGGCAGCATGCCAAATGCTTACATGCATTATCTCAGTGGATCTTCACAGCAACCCTTCCTTTTAGATGAGGAAACTCAGATGAGGAGCTCAGGCAGGTTAAGCAACTTGAGAAAGTTTACACAGCTGTTAGCAGCAGAGCTGGGATTTGAAGTCAGGTTTTTCTGACCCGGCTGCCCATCATGTTCACCTGATGTAGGCTAACTCCTTCAGGAAGCTGAGTATTAGGGGCTCCATATATAAAACTGTTATTTCTAATGTTACTGAATGTCTCTCATTGTTAGGTATATTGCTTGGAATGAGGCAGGATATAGCCAAGTAAACATTTCTGACATGATTTCACCCACCTACATGTGGGAGAGCATAGAAGAAAGGAACTTATTTTTATTGCATATTTGTTATGTGCTTGGCAAAGTTAGAGATTTTTACCCAGATGCTTCATTTACTCCTCAGAATACTGTAAGGCAGGTATTATCAACCCATTCTACAGATACAGAACGGCTCAAAAAGAGTAAGCAATTTTCTTTAGAGTAAGTAGCTAGTGGTGGCAAAACTGGGATTCAAACCAAAGTAGACGCTACTAATATATCAACTTGTGGAATTGGCATGTAAATACGACCCACAAACAACAATACAAGATACCGGGTTATACATTCTAGGCTGGGCGTGGTGGCTCACGTCTATAATTCCAGCACTTTGGGAGGCCGCGGCGGGTGGATTGCCTGAGCTCAGGAGTTGGAGACCAGCCTGGGCAACATGGTGTAACCCCGTCTCTACTAAAATACAAAAAATTAGCCAGGTGTGGGGGTCTGTGCCTGTAGTCCCAGCTACTCGCGAGGCTGAGGCAGGAGAATTGCTTGAACTGGGGAGGCATAGGTTGTGGTAAGCGGAGATCGCACCACTGCACTTCAGCCTGGGCAACAGAGCGAGACTCCATCACACACACAAAAAAAGTGAGTGATGTAGACACCTATCACGGGAATGTTCACAGCATGGCAAAGGGGCTTGTGTTGGGTCCTAAAGGTTGGAGTTTAAGGATGAAGGGCTACCGTATTCCGGGTATAGGGAGAGATGAGCAAAGGTTTGGAAATGGGAATGAATTTGTGAGGTATAAGGGATGATGAGGAAATATCTTGGTGCATGTAGAGGGAAGTAGTGGGGGTTTTGTGTGTGTGTGTGTGTGTGTGTGTGCACGCTCATGCCTGCACATGTGCCCTCCAGAGGGCTTTAATGAAAGGCTTAGGAATTTTGACTTTACCCTTTTTGTATAAAGGAGTCATGACTGTTTTTGAATTTAATTCAATAGCAGTTTGTAAAGTGATTTGGAATAGAGAGATTAGATGTAAGTGGGCCATATGGAAACATTATACACAGTAGTGAACAACCCAGTTCTGTGATAATGAGGTCTAGACTTGGGTAGAAGCGACTGTGACAGAAAAGAGGGCCAAGCTGACCTTTGATAGAATGAAATTGTGATGGAATCAGCATGGAATAAGTGCAGTTGGAACTTTACGGTTTAAAAGTTGTTAGATGTAGTATTGTCAAATGGACTGAGTTGGTTGATAGCGTAGTTTAGGTATTCTGTATCCTTACTGATTTTCTCTCTACTTGTCCTATCAATTTCTGAGAAAGGAGTGTTGAAATCAACTGTAGTTAGGGGTTTGCTGTTTCTCTGTTTAGTTCTATCCGTTTTTGTTTCATGTATTTTGAAGCTGTTTTAAAGGTAAATCCACATTTAGGGTTATTATACCTTCTTTATCACTATGTAATGAGTCTCTTTATGCCTTCCTTGTTCTGAATTCCTGTTATCTGCTATTAATATGGCCAATCTGGCTTTCTTTTGACTACTATTAGCATGGTTTATCTTTTTTTTATCCTTTTACTTTTAATCAATCTGTGTCTTCATATTTAATATGGGCTACTGGTAGACAGTCTGTAGTTAGGTCTTATATTTTTATCCAATATGATAATTTCTGTTCTATAATTGGGATATTTAGACCATTTGTATTTAATGTAATTGTTGATATCTTTAAAGTTAAATCTACAGTCTTGCTATTTGTTTGCTATCTTAAGTTGTTATGTATTTTTAAGTTATATATTTTGTTTTCCTTTCTCCTTTTCTTCTGTCCTTTTTTGTATTAATAAAGTATTTTTTAATGATTCCACATTATCTCCCCTATTAGTTTTTATAGGTTTGTATCTTTTTCTAATGTGGTTGGTATACAATATCAATCATTAATTTATCACATTTATACCATTCTTAAGTATAAGAATCTTAAAACACTATGCTTCTAATCCCTACTGCCATCCTTTGTGCCATTGTTTTCATCCATTTTACTTTTATTATATGTTGTAAACCCCACAGTATTTTCTTTTCTTTGGTTTTTTTTTTTTTGAGACAGAGTCTCACTCTATTGCCCAGGCTGGAGTGCAGTGGCATGATCTCGGCTCACTGCAACCTCCGCCTCCCAGGTTCAAGTGATTCTCCTGCCTCAGCTTCCCAAGTAGCTGGCATTACAGGTGCGCACCACCGTGCCTGGCTAATTTTTGTATTTTTAGTAGAGAAGGAGATTCACTATGTTGGCCAGGCTGGTCTCAAACTCCTGACCTTATGATCTGCCCGCTTCGGCCTTCCAAAGTGCTGGGATTACAGGTGTGAGCCACCGCACCCGGCCACAGTATTTTCTTTAACTATTTTTGCTTTTTGTTTTTTGTTTTGTTTTTTTAACCTTTTGAGACAGGTTCTCACTCTATCACCCAGGCTAGAGTGCAGCGGCCCCATCACAGCTCACTGCAGCTTCAACTTCCCAGGCTCAACCAATCCTCCCACCTCAGCCTCATTTGGGTGAATACCAGTGAGTACCACTGCTGGGTCGTACGGTAAGAGTATGTTTAGTTTTGTAAGAAATTGCCACACAACTGTCTTCCAAAGTGGCTGCACCATTTGGGCTTCTATCAGCAATGAATGAGAGTTCCTGATGTTCCATATCCTTGTCAGATTTGATATTGTCAGTGTTCTGGATTTTGACCATTCTGGTAAGTGTGTAGTGGTATCTTATTGTTTTAATTTGCATTTTCTAATGACATAGGATGTTGAACATTTTTTTCATATGCTTTTTTGTCATCCATTTATCTTCTCTGGAGAGGTATCTATTCAGATCTTTTGCCCATTTTTAAATCTGGTTATTTTCTTATTGTTGCGTTCTAAGCCTTCTTTGTATATTCTGGATACCAATTATTTACTGGATCTCTTTTTTGTAAGTATTTTCTCCCAGTGTGTGGCTTGTCTTCTCATTCTCTTGACATTGTCTTTCACAGAGCAGAAGTTTTTAATTTTAATGAAGTCCAACTTTTTTCAACGATTTATTTCATAGATCATACCATTGGTGTTTATCCAAAGAGTCATAGCCATATGCAAGGTTCATTAGTTTTTTTTCCTATATTAGTTATCTTCTATGAGTTTCAGAGTTTTGCATTTTATATTTAGGTCTATGATTTCTGTATTCCTTTTTTTTTTTTTAATTTTAGAGATGGGATCTCGCAATGTTGAGCTTGAAGTTCTGGGTTCAAATGATCCTCCCCAACAGCCTCCTGGGTAGCCGGTACTACAGGCATGCAACACCATGCCCAGCTGTAAGACTTGTACTGAGGGGTTATGTTGCAAGCATAACCCAGTTCTTATCATGCTCCATCTCAACAAACACGTTGTTTCTAGACAGATTTAGATGCTACCAAGTTCTAGAGAGCAATACGAAGTCAGACTCAGGAGAGGAAGGGTCACACAGAAAAATACTGCAGAATTTTGCCAACTCATATAAGCAATACCCTAAGAATATGTATAGAAAAATGAATTCTGAGAGTGTTAGACCAAGGAAGTGAAAGCATAACTAGGTCATATTCGATTGTTGATACGAATGCATTAAATGAACTTGCGAGGACAGCCACCCTTTATTATAATGTATAGAAATAAGTAGAAAGACTTAGAGAAAGGGAAATACTGGAGTGAACTGATCAGATGTGAACTACTCATTCTCCCTGAGATAGGACCCATACGATACTCCATTCACCATGGCATTGAGAACTACATCAGTGACAGAAACACCAAAGGTGTTGACCCCGGAACACTTAACAGTAAACTTCCTGCATGCTAACCTTCATCTCAAAGTTTCCTTTCCAGGGAACCTGCAACACCTAGAATAACTCAATTTAAGTTTTTTGGTTGAACTGTTCAGAAGACTGATGAGTTTTGGGGACTGATAGAATATTATGAGATTAATCAATAGTGGCTATCTCCCCCCACAATGTATTCTCATCGAAGAAGCA